TATTGTTTGGGTTTCTTTATTTACTGTTAATAGAAAAATAATATTTGTGTTTGTATAGTTTTCTGTAATAAACATAACGGATCTGGAACTTGGTCTATGATTGATATACACCGCCTTCATGATTGGACTGGACTTTCAAAAAAATATTTTAATAGTCTAAAGAAGGCCAACCAAGATGACATTGTTTAAAAAATTTTATTTATTGGTTTACAGTAGTTTTTAAGTTTCTTTAATTAGTTGTAATTAAATTGAGAGAGAAACTTTATAAAGCGATGTCCTACTTTAACAATGGCATTTGTAATACGTTTAAGAGCTCTTATTAAGGATTGTTCGTGAAAAATATCTACTTTCAGGTTTTATGATTACATAAATGCATAGATGCAAGATAAAATTAATAAGCGTTAATTTTAAATCGTTAAACTTAAAAGAAGGTACAGTTATTTAAATATATGCAAGTTAGGTATTTGGTGTAACTAGTTGAATATACAAGCTTGGTATGAAACAAGGAGATTTTAATAAAATTGATATGTGAAAATGTGTTCTTTTTTTATTTACTTTTAATCCTCTTGAAAAATATCAGAAAAAAATACTGTTTACATTGTTTTAAATATTATATTTCCAAAAAAATTTACAGGAATCTATTATACCAATAAGAAATCATTATTATACATATAGTTTGGATTTAAAAAATAATAATTTGCATCTAAAAAATAGTAATAAACAGTTATAACAATATAAATGCTTAGTATTTTCTACACAAAACAAAATAAAATCGAACTTAATTCGATCACACTGACAACGACAGATCATGTTATTTTAACTATCAGCCCTGCGACTCCGTAAAAATCCAGACCCGAATTCGAAATCACTCAGAGCGCTTAGTGTAAGTTTTTTTGACGTTTACGTTCACTGTCGATCGTGAGCGCGTTAAGATTTTAGTATGGAATCCGGTACAGCGCCCCTAGCGGTAACTACCAAGAATTACAAATCTCCATACAGATTCTTAACGCGCTCACTAGTGAACGCGTTAGCGTAAAACTTACACTTACCACTCAGGTCTCCGAATTCACTTCAAAAAGCGGCATCCGCTCAACCTTCAATTGGTAATGAGGAAGTATTAAAAAAAAAACGAAAGCACTAAACAAGCACCTCCACTAGATGGCGACTCTAGCAAAAGTTGATTTTTGCAGGAAACACATGGATCAAAAACAGTCATTTCCATTCCTTTTTAAATAATCCTATTAATATTATAAATTTGAAAGTTTCTTTGTTTGGATGTTTAGATGTTTGGATGTGTGTCGGCCAATCACGCCGAAACTACTGAACGGATTTTGATGAAATTTGGTATACAGATAGGGTATTAGCTGACTTAGATAATAGGATACTTTTTACCCCACTTAACATTTCCCTAGGGACCACGCGGGCGAAGCCGCTGGCAAAAGCTAGTATATTAAAAAACTGAAATTTGAAAAGTTAGAAACTTAAATATCAATAAAAATACGAAAAAGTACAAATAGAATATGAGTTGCTTATCGAGTTTTGAAAACTAATTTACTTTTGAACTTGAAAGAAAACCGGAAAGGTTGTCAAGGAGAAATCAAGAACGTACCGTAGCGACATCTAGTTTGATTTCGGGAACTAATGTTATTTTTTAAATACTTCCTCATAACGTTTCGTGGCATAAGACATAGAACTTTCGAAATGACATAGAAATAGAATATCTGAGACACGTATATTCAATCAATTTTGTTTTGTATATTTATACAAAAAATGGAAACAATAGAATTTATAGGTATACTTAATAACGTGAATTCGGTCTCATGAGGGAATTCGAATTCGGGTCTGGATTTTTATAGAATCGCAGGGCAGCTTCCGTTTCCGCTACCATTCAGAAACCAGCCTTACAGATTATGATAAAAATCATTTTGAAATTGAAACAGAATTTAGGATTTATTAATAATTTAGGTTTAATATAATATGCAAATAACAAAAATATTAACACGATGCTTAGATTCAATCACACACAATCTAAAATTTATTTTAACATGTCTCTTTCTTTTCGTAAGGAACATTTAAAGAATGCATTCTATTTTGAACCTTATGCTTTAGCGAAGAAAGTTGATGTTTAATATAGTATTTACATGCACACTTTTTAAACCAGATTTTGATTATCAAGAACTCTTGTCAATGAGAGTATTGATTCCATTAATAGCATCTCAACAGGAAATATTGATGCAACAAATATTTTTTGAAGAAATAGCAATGTCTTTTTCTTTCTATATGGATAGAACAGAGACAGATAGCAAACTAAAAAGCTACGTAAAAATCGAACGCATTTGATAAAGTCCAAAATTCATTGCGCCCTACAGAAAATATGTCGCACAATTACCTCGAGGGAAGTTTTCTCTAGGCTCAAATGTGACTTATCTAGTACGTCCATAAAATATCTCGTTCTCGAGCCGCCCTCGAGTGTCTCGAGTTCAACATATTACGGGTGCTGGTTAAGACGTGTATTATACACTTATATTACTTTTTATTATTAATCCATTATAATTATATATTCACATCTATAATAAAACGAAACGAAGTTAAAACGAAGCTTAAAAAATCAGATCATATGAATTTACACAAAAACAATAAAAATAAATCGCAACAAAAATACATCTAATTAAAAAATCTACTTTTAACTTTCTTAATTATTATATTAGTTATTTAAAAATAATAACAGTTAAAATTCTAACATTACACGAATGAAAAATGTACATATACCTACCTACATTTAAAAATTATAATCTGTGTACATCTCGTTACATTTATAAATTATAGCTAACTTGACTCTTATTTGAAGTAAGTATTTAATGATAATTAAAAAATGAAATATAAAAAAAACAAAGATACATTTAAATAAAATAAAGGTTTCTTTATCTCGGTTAAGCTCTAAACTCTCTGAATACCCAGCAATCTGGTCTAATTAAGCTAAGTTAAACTATATTTATGTATTACTTTTCTGCCTGCGACTTTATTCGAACTACACTAGATATACATTTAAGTAGCTACATATCGATTTAGTTTCAAAACTGACGGGACTTATAAAATTCCCATCAGCTTTCAAGTTTCCTCCTTATTTACGCTATTTTATTTTAAGGGGAGATTTCTAAAAATAATTTCTTACTCCATTATAAAAGGAAGCATGACAGATCAAATGACAGATGAAAAATTTGAATTATGCTAGGAATGTCCACACAATGCAGCTGAGCAGCAATTTGTAACTTTTAACGAAAATACAATAAAAATTATAATTTATTTTACACCGTCTTATGTCTTAGACGGAGCTTTAGAGGAAAAACAATTTTAAGAACCCAATATATCACATAATTACTAAAATGCTAATGGAAAAATATCAGAAATGCTGAATACAATACACTTGATTGTCGATATTAAGAAAACAATATGTACAACGGCCATTTTTAATAAAAACTATGTATACAAATTAACAAAAATATAGTAACTACTTTATAAAATTAAAACAAATGTATTTTAATATTACACGATGGATAATTTCTATAATTTTATTAATTTAAATGTGATAATACTATAATAAAGAATAATTTTATTTACAAATGTTTATAATTTAATTGGAAATGTTATTTATACAAAAAATTCCAATGCAGTGATTACATACTTTTGAATTGTCAATATAATTTCCATTTTTTGATACCTATACATGAATCAAATATGGAAATTATGAAAAAAAATATATATAAAATTCTCTTATTCAGACAGATTATTATTAAAATTTTATTAACTTCATATCGAGCAAATATGTTAAATGTTGTAAAATTAATTTTAGTTCCTTTTACGGAGGCAGGTAGCGCTATTTCAAAATCGATACAACAAAAAACCCTTTTTTTTGTATGGGAGCCCTCTTAAATATTTATTTTATCCTGGTTTTTAGTATTTGTTGTTGAGGAGAAAACAGAAATAAATCATCTGTGAAAATCAACTGTCTAACTGTCACGGCTCATGAGATACAGCCTGGTGACAGACAGACAGACAGCGAAGTCTTAATAACAGGGTTCCCGTTTTACCCTTTGTATGCGGAACCCTAAAAAGATTACATATCTATACAAAAATATAACATGCTCAATGCAAAATATACATATGGCAAAATAAGCAAATTTTGCTCTTGTTACATTTTGGTATTGAGTATGAAACCTAATACACTTTGGGAGATATATCTATGTACAGTAACTTAATGTTCACTCTATTGAATAATTTGTTAACACCATAAATATTAGTTCGGTGGCGTAGTCGATATGCGCCGCGGCCTGCGATCGTAGTCGTTAAGCAACTTTCGCTAGGGTCAGTCACGGGATGGGTGACCAAAAAATTATTATCTCGAGCTACTCCGTGCTTCGGGAGTCACGTTAAGCCGTTGGTCCCGGCTGCATTTGCAGTCGTTAATACCGTGGAGAGTCATGGCCTGACCCAGTGGTCAGCGGGGACGTAAAAGGGCTGGTGATGATGATAAATATTATTATTTTCTTAAAACAAAAGTAAGAAAGAATGGGTGTTAATTTTCCTTTAAGTATATTCTCAAAAGTAACCGCGCCGGTTTCTGAATTGAGAAAAGTTTAAAATTTCAACAGATTAGCCTCAATAACCCAAGTTTTTTACTTTTCACAAGCCAAATCCTAGTTTTTATCAAACGTCTAAGTAATCATTAAAAAAAAACTAAAATCAAAAACAGAATCCCGTTTAAGTGACGTTTAAGTATAATTTGAGATGTGCTTAACTTTAAATACTCAAATAAAAACCGGGTGTGAGTATAATTTTATGAATAAAAAACGACTATGAGATAAATAATGAGAAAGATAGGATACCTCTGGTATTTTGTTAAAAGGTAACCTCGTGGCTCAAAAATGCTTAGAAACTTGCGAAAAGGTCACATTTTGTAAACTCGACTTTACAAATTCTTTCACTTACTCAATACCCATATTTCAATCGACTTCGTCGTCTTCAGCGTCCATTGGCTCGATTTTAACACTAACAAAATCAGTAGGCTCCAATTCCACCACAAAATGATCAGTTGTCTCTTCACCCTTCTCATCTTCGGTCTCATCATCCCTCTCATCGCCGTCATCGGTCTCATCACCTTCACCGTCACGGTCAACGGCACCATTTTTCTTATTTTCTTCCGCTAGTTTTTGTAATGTCACGAAGTTCGCCAACAAAACGTCGCTAGATTTCTTCTTCGGCGGGCCGAATATGTCGTTCATGACGTCATCGTCTAGACCCAAGTTACAATCGCGCGGGTCTAATATTTGTACAAAGTCCTTCAATACTGAGTTGACTCCTTTCAAATAGTGACGCCTGCGCAGGTGTTTCACTAAAGTGCGTTTTACGGCATACGATTTAGGGCATAGTTTGCACTGTGGAATGACACATACAGATTATGTTAACACGTAGCCATTTAATTTAAGACATCTATGTGTACTAATAGATGAGCTATTCATAATTCAAATTGCAGGATATCCAACCGGGCAATATTTGCAAAAAGTAGTTTAAAATTCATTTATTTGTAATGTGGGTGTATACCACATTTGAATTATCGACTTATATTATTTGTATCAAACAATACAATCGCTCCAACAAGTTAAGCGACAAATCAGCTATGATAAGCGAACGGACAGATTAAAGAACCGAGTAATTATCACACAATGTGTGATGTGTGATATTACACAATCGGTATTTAAGTAGAAAAATTGTAAGTTTTATTTTTCAAAACTTCTGGATTCGATTCCCAAACTGAGAATTTTCAAAATTAATTATTGTTAGGATTTCAGTTGCAGACTTTCCATGATGACTGTTCTAACTGTTACACCCTGTATAAGGGTAACTTTTTTTTTTATTTCAAAGTATTTAAAGTAAAATCTTAATATTGTAAAGAGCAACGGCTGAAAAGAGAAATATAATACCACAAATTTATATCTTTCTTTATTCACCAACAATTTTTTGAGGTCATTCGTACAGGTAAACTGAAAACCTTTTAAGTCGGTTAATGTCGCACATAGGCAGGTAAACTGAAAAAACCCTTTCCTTTTTTTTAAAGTTGGCTAAAAGGAATGTTATCAATTTCAATTCCTTTTATAAGTCGATGAATTTTTTTAATACTATTAAAAGTAGCATAAATTTAAAAAGAATTATATCTTCAAAACTACTGAACCGATTTTATTGAAACTTGTAGTGTGCCCTAAGTTGAAAGCAACTCAATTAAACAAAAAGAGAAAAATCATTGCACTCCCATGTCTGGTTTGCGACATATTCATGGTCAAATATACAGACATATATTATGTATACATACATCTATATAATTTTGCACAAGTGTTAAGAATGGGCAGACTAACATGAATATTACGTTATTAAAACATGCATACACCTCGAATTGATCACCTTATTTTTTGAAGTCGGTTAAAAAAGCAATGTACCCACCCGGAACATATTAATGTCGCTGTGTGTAATGACGTGATGACGAAGTCCGGCTGCGGAGGTAAGAGACTTCCGACACAGCGGACAGTTGTACCGCGTGCCCGCGTGTACTGTTCGCAGGTGGCGCATCATATACCTTTCATCTTGATACTTGCGCCCTAAATGTAATGTATAATGTTAATGTTCAAAAAAAAACAATACACGGGAAGAAAGAGAGAAAAGATCGAAGTACCCTATCTCTTTCTACTGACACTTGCACCGTTATAAGACCACTAAATAATAATAAAAAAATATTAGAAAAGAACACATTCATCGCTCAGATTTCAAGATAAGCTAAAGCCCTATTATGGAGTATCTGAAACAACACCCGGACAGACACAAAATGGAAAAGTTCAATTTCTATATTAACCTGACCGGAACTTGAATATGAGAACTTGAATGTTACTACATATTGCATGAATAAAGAGAGGCAGATAGGATACCATAATCATCTCTTTCTAATTGATGAATAACTGGTGGCTAAACAGACACTTCATGATACGATCAAATTTCTATTGGTCAAGTAGTAATGGGCGCAAAAATATAAATATTAGTTCCAAAACTACCAATCATTTGTTGATCTAAAACAATGAATGAGCAATAATACTCAGATTAGAGATAATATAATAACATTCCATTCTAAACAATAGCAAATAGGATTATAATATATTATATGCTATTTAATGTTTTTGTTCAATGAGGAAGTATTTTAAAGTAAAAAAAGAAAGTACTTAAAAGTACTTCACTAGATGGCGACTCTACCAAAAGTTGATTTTTGCAAGAAACCAATAGTCAGAAGATAGTCATTTCCGTTCCTAAACTAACATATTAAAAAACTGAATTTTGCAAAGTTCGAAACTTAGATATCAATACAAATACGAAAAACTACAAATAAAATATAAGTTGTTTATTGGGTTTTAAAAATTTATAGGGGTTGTCATGGAGAAATCAAGAAAGTACCATAGCGACATCTAGTTTGATTTCGGGAACTATTTTCATTATATATTCATATTTGACAAAAATATATAATTAAGGTATAATTATTACTCACCGCACAGTGGACACGGAACAGTATCCTTTTTTACTACGTGAGTCTTCATGTGTTCACGCAAAGAGCATGCGCTAGTGAACAACTTCGAGCACACGGAACACGTCTCTAAATCTATAGACATAAAGTATAATATGTTTCATAAAAAAATATCTAATTTTAAAAATATATCTAGAATAAATAAAGATATTCTGATGATTTTGAGTAACAAATCATGTGATTTGTGTTATTAAATTGAAATTCATGTTTTTATTCATACATTATATTATCACGTGACCTAAAACATGACCCACTATGGTGTGATGTAGCATTGGCAGTAACATTGCTGCATCTGTCATGTTACTAGTAAACAGTTAGCTATGTGTTTTATAGGACGATCGTTAGATGGCACCTCTTTTGTCTGATCGACTTCGTTCAATCTATTATCTATACTAGTACATAATATAGGAAGGAAAGTTTCGTTTGTACATCGAGTTTGCTTCGAAACTACAGTAGGCTAATTCTGCTAATATTTATAACAGAATCTACTTGCTTTATTGTATAGCCAATTGCATTTAGACTTGCATTTAGCCATTGTATTATCTACCTGAAGTCCAAATATTATTATACATCTGTCACAATCGATGTGTGAGGAAGATCTTGCACTAATAATATTGGAGTTTTAGTAGAATGTACAATGGTAGAATACAAGTTATTGAGATTCTAATGAGATGCAATTATTATGTAAACATTTTCAGAACTCGCTTACTGAACCGATATAAAAAAAAATTACTTAAAAAAGGTTAATTATACGCGGACATAGGCTATATTTATGAAATCTCGGGATAACAGCTAATATAATATATTCAATGTCTGTTTTGTGTACAAATAGAAATTAAATCATGAATATACCCGGATACTATTGTATGTTGATACAATTTTAAATTAGTAATTCAACAATAGGGCACGAAACTTATCATAATCTCGTATAGGCGATAAACAGGTATAACTCACTTTCACCCGTATGCTTTCGTATGTGGTACGTTAGTTTCGATTTCTGGACGAATGTCTGGCCGCAGTAAAGGCAGGCGTAAGACCTGTCTTTGGTATGGGTCCTGGAATAAAATTAATATTTAATATAATCACTACATAGTATGAAAGATTTCTCTGTCTCTATATCCCTGAGTATGCTTAAATTTTTAAAACTACGCAACGTATTTTGATGCGGATTTTCATACATAGGATGATTCAAAAGGAAGGTTTTTATGTATAATACAAGACCACGCGGGCTAGCTAGTTTAAAATAATTTAATAAATTTTTTACTACATGAAGAAATGTCTAAAAGCATACAATCGAAAAATATTAGTGTCATTTAAAAATAATATAAAATGGCGGATACAGAGAAAATTCATATTTTTAATCTGCATCCGCCATGTTTCATTCACCCACTGACGTCATGATGAGAGAGACATTTCAAGAGCGCACGAAGATGAGTCGATCTTACTATAAGATACCGACAGACATGCTTATTAGTAGCACCAAAGCATGCTACTAATGAGCATTGCTCATTAACAGCAAGTGTGACGTAACGTTGCTAGTAATGAGCATGCTCATAAATCGACATACGTTTGATTTTCGAGCTTGCTTCCTTAGGCTTATTGTCATTAGTTTTTTGTAACTTATTATCGAAGTCATAAGTGTTTATGGAACACAAGTTCGTGAGCATTCATGAGCACGCTTATTGTCATTTGCTTTTTGTAACTTATTATCGAAGTCATAAGTGTTTATGGAACACAAGTTCGTGAGCATTCATGAGCACGCTTATTGTCATTTGCTTTTTGTAACTTATTATCGAAGTCATAAGTGTTTATGGAACACAAGTTCGTGAGCATTCATGAGCACGCTTATTGTCATTTGCTTTTTGTAACTTATTATCGAAGTCATAAGAGTTTATGGAACACAAGTTCGTGAGCATTCATGAGCACGCTTATTGTCATTTGCTTTTTGTAACTTATTATCGAAGTCATAAGAGTTTATGGAACACAAGAATTTGCTTTTTAGCGATCATTAATGAGCATATCTGTCTGTCATGTGCACCTATACTTTTCACTTACCTCGAGTGTGCCGTACAAGCGCCCTTATCGGAGAAAGTGCGGGGGCAATGTGGACACCCGTACGGACGTTCGCCGGTGTGCCTGCGCTCGTGTCGCAACATGTTGGAACGTTGCACGAAACGTTTCGGACAGTACGAGCACGCGTGACGCGGACCCTCGTGGATTTGTATGTGTTCACGAAAAGAGTCCTTCTTCTGTACACAATAAGAGTCAACCGGTTAGATGTTCAAACTATATCCATAAGAATCGGTGTGTTTCCGCCAGAACTAACAAATAATGATACTAGTTTGCCACCAGCGGCTTCGTCCGCGTGGTCCATAGGCAACCGTTTTGTGCACGTTGATTAGAATAGTTAAAAGAACGCTTAAGCAAAATTTGAGACTCCTAGCACTTAGTTCCTGAAATATCGTGATAAGTGACCTTTTGCCTTTACATTCAACGGATGATCAGTAACATACTAATGGATATTTCCGTGAGGCGGTTGATTGATCGTCCGTCAGATTTAAACCTACTCTTACACGAAACTAGTCTGAATGGCACAAGAATCATTCTTTAATGAACAAATTTAATATAGTAAATAGATACTTTTGCATACAAACCGTAATATTTCTTTGCTAACAAGTTACCGATACCTATAGTGGTAATTTACATCTTATGCTGATTGCAATAAAATCAATTATTCACTTTACTCATACGCTCAGTCGTTTCCAGTGTTGTTAGCTCTGGAGTCTTACTCTTAAATGCAATGTCAATATCAATTTCAATCCAACCCAAAAGCAATATCAATTTTCATCAAATCTTAGCTCATACTCTTGATTCATAGACTCATTACTTACTCAAATAGTTTATTCAATGAAATGAAATGAAATGAAAATGTTGAAATGAAAATGTTTTTATTCGAGTAAGCTTGTTACAAGCACTTTTGAATCGTCCAAGTAAGCTTGTTACAAGCACTTTTGAATCGTCCAAAAATATTTTATCCCCTACCACTTGTTCAGGACGTCTTTTAGCTGACAAGAAGAATATTGCCATAATATTGTTACGCAACATTGAGCCAATGGCGCTAGTGTACCTAATCAAGAGTACGGAACTTCACAATTGCAATGTTAATTGATCGCAATGCAGTATGCAAAAGTAATCATACAGATATGCAGTTTACATAATAGTGTTCTGCTCACCATAAAAGTCTTTCCGCAGTAGTTGCAAGTGTAGCTCTGTTGGTTGGGCCTGTGTTCTTGCTTGTGCATGTACAGTGAAGATTTATGCTGGAATGATTTGCCGCATTCCGTGCAAGAGAACGGGTGCCGTCCTGGGTGTCGAATCAAGTAGTGGAGTTTTCTACGAAAAACAAAAATCCCGAGAATCAGGTTTAAGATCGATATCTACATGTGAAAAGGGGAGGATGTTTAAGCCACAAAGTCGAAATTCGGTACGGAAATTTTATTAAATATGCAAGTAGCATTACAAAAAACCATTCTTATGGGCAATTTAGAGGAGACCAGTAGCCAAGACATTACAGTTATCCAGCCAATTCAATTTCAACTTTATTGCTTACATGTAGTTAACATAAACCCTGATAGGGAGCAGCAAATTACATAGACAAGGTTAAATATAAAATTAAAGTAAAATACAAGCAATTACAGAATAATTCCAAGATTTATTTATTTACTTCAATGCATACATGTGACTTGGAAACTAAATACATAAATTTCAGTTAATAATATTCAGATGCACCTTGATAGGTATGGTAATATAGGAAGATGGAAAGAAGAGGGTCGGACGTTCCAATTTATTTAAAACTTTTCATTTGAATATTAATTCACTGTATAATAGCATTTATTTAATAGGATATTCTTTAGCATTTTTATAAGTCGAGTATATGTTTTTCGTTCTTTAAGCATTCAGCACGTATAGCATGACAAACTCGAGAAACGCTTTGTCTACACTCATTTGTCAGTTTCTCGGGTCGAGAGTGAGATATCGTATGGGCGCACCCGAGAAAAGTGACATTTGAGTGTAGACAAAACGTTGTCGCGTTCGTCATGCTACGCGTGCAGGTAATTTGATATAGATTTTAATTGACATTTTATAAGTTCCGGAACTGTGTAAAGATAATAAATAAGGTATAAAATGAAAATATATATATATATATATATAAATTATAGACTTTTGTTTTTCGAAAAAATACTGTTTTAGTATATTAATGATTTGTTGGTGTCTTGTTCGTTCTTTACAAAGACAGGCAGTTGATTATTATGTTTTTATTGTACTAACATGTGGGCCAGAGTGGTATGTGTAAGTTCAACGTTAACGGGTTTACTAGTGAGCGCGTTAAGACTGCATGGAGATTGGAGACGATAAAAGAACTTTCCGAAATAAATTTAGATTTTATGTCCTATCTCAACGATTGCAAGTTAACAGTAAAAGTATCAACTGCATGACCATTCGTATCTATTAATAGATTACCAGACGTTTTAACAATTGGAACTATTCGCTCTATCAAAACTAATAAGTATGAATTTTTACTTGACGCATGTTATTATTCTCTAAAATATTATCTAATGACATAACAATACAATATTATCTGTATACTAATTCACACATATTATTGACATTTATAATGAATTCATAATTTAATCTAATTTGACATTTTATTTAATATTTGTATGCCGAACTAGGCAGATTTTTGTTGGGATTTGACTTGGCTATAACACCATTGCATATGTTTGTACACTCAAAAATTTGATAAATAAATGAATATGAATTTGTAGTTCTCACGATCGACGACGGTTAATGTATACGTAAAAAAAACTTACACTAAGCGTTCAAGACTATGAATTACGCAGTTGAAATACGGGTGTAGACATTAAACGAATAAATATACATTTTTTTCTGGTAGTGTTTAATGCTGTATTTATTATATTATTATTGCTTAAATTATTGTTTTTTATGTTCTCGTTGTCACGTGAGTGCAAAACAGCGCACGACGTCACGCCCCTCTTACTCATATCATCATAACTTAGAGAATTAAACCATATGGCATACATAGAACGATATTAGTTTTGGAGAGGTGTCAGGGGCGTGACGTCATAGCGATGTCATGATAGAAGTCGGCGTTTTCACGAGACATTTGGAAAAATAAATTTATTTTTGATTTGAGCTTATTATATGAATTATATTTTATTATATATATCTCATAAAAAGTTTTATACCATAGGGGTGGTATTCGTTAGTACTACGACAGTTTAGTTTCTTAAACTACTGCTGTAATACTATTTTTTTTAGTAAAAAGATGTGGATTGTTTTTTACAAAATTAAAAAAAAATCAATAAATATATAGAGATGTGACAGTTAAATGTTTAGTTCTGTGTAAAGTGTGATCTACAGCTTTCCATTGCATCAACAATATTTAATATTCTGCTACATTCTTAGCATTGTATACCATTGTAAATGCAAATTTAATCCTGATACATTTTTTGTAATCTAATAAATTTTTGTGCTTCAGTCCAGTAAAGATCCATCGAATGGTTATAAGATGGCGCTGCGATACCTGCATCGCGCTGTCTAAGTTTCGTCGCGACTTAATATATATAAAACTTTCAATCTACATCGATTGGCCCGCGGTCTCCAAGCCACCAACATCTAGCTGGAAGGGAGACATATTGCCTTAGTCTCCCTAATCGCTATTGCCACGTAAGACCATACCCCCTTCCGGCTCCACACATACCTCTCATCACTGGTGTACATAACTTCCCGACATAGTTTACACTTGAATTTGCCAGGGCCGTGGACCTGCGTCATGTGGGTGCTGCAAGCGCGAGCGGTCGCGAAGTCACGTCCACATATTATGCAGGTGCTGCTGCGCTCCTGCTGCATCGACTCACGATTGTGTACAGACTGTGAACGAACAGAAGAATCAGGTCTGGAAGTAGGGTGAAAGGGTGGCACTTGCCCCGGGTGCCTGTGTCAGGAACTTAAACACAGTAAAAAACTAACTTCACAAAATGTCTTTTAAAATAAATTCATAGATATGGGCTAAAATGTGATGGATAACTTTCCAAAACACCTAAATTAATTTAAACATTTCAAAGATATTGTAATAATAATAATGGTAAGGACGCAATATCAAGTTTCTGTCAAGGTTGAAAAAAGTTATGAATCCGGGCCAGAGAAGAATAGTAAGTATGATGATATTTGGCTACTTGACAAGTATTGAAAAGTTTTTTCTCCAAAAAGTATTATTAAATAAAGGATAAAACATAATATTTTTATTAATAGTTTAAATTGCCCCACGAAAACTAAAAATCGCGTGATATTTCCAGCCGTGACGTCATGAGTATTTTAGTTTCAATTAATATGAGTATGGTAGTACCGACGACAAAACTGTTGACGTTTAGTTTATTGAAATGTGTTCAATTCATTTAAAGAATACAGCATTGTAAACTATTTTATAATTTGTTATAATAACTGTTAAGTATCCAATTCCTGTGCAGAAGGCTTACTCTGATTCTCATAAAACAATTATGATGCGACAGTGGTAGGAACAGACACTAGTCTCCGAAACTAATATTTCAGAATTTTCATTAATGAACAAACAAAGTAGACCCTCTGAGCAGGCGCCTGATCTAATGAAAGGTCCAGAAAATTGCCGGAGTATGAAAAATTGGGATGGCAAAATCAAAAATACTATTTTTACTTGGAGAAACTCCTGTAGCTCAGGCACAGGGTAGTGCTAAATTTTATTTGAAGCATCCCAAATAATAGATGGCTTACCCTCACGTGGATTTTAAAAGACTTCCTATGACTAAATGGCCGATAGTTACAAGATCCCAATGAACAGAAAATCTTTCTTGCTTCCGGATGATGTGCAGTAAAATGATTCCTCATGTCTTCAACTGTGGGTATGACCAAACTGCAGAGGCAGCATTTAAAGATATATTTTGTATTGTCATTTTCACCTTGATGTCTTTCTATATAGTGGTGAATAAACCACACCTGGAATAAGATGTTAGGACATTTAAAAAGGTTTTGATTCTTTGAGGTTTTATATCTTTAGCATTAGCATATCTAATGACTTGGTATCTGTGGAAGTTGCTTTGCTTTATCAATCATAGATTGAACACTAAATAGACATCTAGCTACTCTTTTGGTTTCATCTTTTAATTTTAGATAGTTATGCATAAATTGGCTGGAGTAAAACAAATAGGTGCACCATTGCAACACTATAAAACTGAAATGTGTTAGAATTACAATAATGTCTTTTTCCGCAACTTCATTATTTTGCGTGTATACATGTCAATACCTACATTGTCACTAAACACCTCAGAACAGCTTTCACATTTGTAACAATCTTCTTTATGTTGACTAGAATGAACTCTGATTTCATGTGTCCTTCTATCAGTTTCATTCCAAAACAATGTTGGGCAATATTTACATTTAAAACCTAAATGGGGGCTAAAACAGTTATCATATTCTAAAACATCCCAATGTTCATTTAAATGACGTCTCGTCTCTTCTCTATTATCAAACTCTTTTTCACAAAATTGACAGATCCATAGGTCATCAAACTCCTTCAGTTCCTCATAAGCGTGACTTTCCAGCTCGTTATAAGTATTAAATGTAGTGGCACATACTCTACATGTAAACATTGGTTCTGTTTTCACCAAATGCATCTTCCTCATATGTATAGTGTAGGCTTGAACTGTGTCAATGTTAGTTTTACATAAACTACAAAAAATTTTCATTGTTGTTTCTGATTTTTCATTTTCATAATCAATGGTTGATTCTTCTGGGAACACTTTACCATTAATCTGATTTATGATCTGATCAATATAGTCGAAGTAGCTTTTCTGTAATACTATTAGCTCCATGGATGTTATATCGAAGTCCTCATCTCCCAAATATGTTTCTGATAGATCATCATTCTCTTTTTGTTCAGGCTCATTTTTTTCTGTCTTTGGTTCTTCATTTTCACTAGTAATTTCCTGTTTTATTTCTGGTATGAGGGCATTTATCATGTTATTACTATCACCACCATCAGTATCAAAACTTTCTTGACTTTTCTTATCTAAGTCCATGTAACCATACCGCATTTGGTTTAGCTCACCATCAACAAACTGTGAGCTTACATCTGCACCATCCACTGAAAATGGAATGTCTCTTCCTGATATTATACTCGAAAAACATTTCAGAGTAAAACGGTGATAGCCCATATAATGATTGAAGAAGTTAATTGACAAATTGTTCGGTTTGGAACATAAAATGCAGAAAAATTTGGGGCTCCCATCATACTCATGTTCCCAAAGGATATCTTCTGTCTTACTGCATATATTGGTGACATTATGCTTCTGGAACAGATGGGCATTGTACTGATCATCGTCAGACACTCTGAAGTGACATAAGCGACAATGTACAAGATTGTGTATAGCGCTCAAATGATGTCTCATTTCTATTTCTGTTTGAAAACTTTCAGTACATTGAGAGCAAGACCATGGTATATGAAATGTCAAGTGGTTTGCCCACGCTTCTCTATCTGCTACAAAATACCTGAAATCAACATTATGTGGTTTAATTGAATTTATAATAAAATTTCTAAAAGTAAGAAATCATCCTTTACTTTTTAACTACCTATTTGATTTTTTAATCATCTTTATGGCTAAAAGTAAAATTCATAGTAATTTGTCAAAAGTATAGTTTGAAAGACAACACAATTAAATGCAAACAATAAGACCTAATTTTGGATTTATGTTTTCCTATTTTGTTTATATAATAATTTGATTAAGAGATCATAAAAATAGCTATATCAACAAAGTACTGTGCTTTATAGTGGGCAAATTACCTGCAAATGCCACAGAAATCTTTTTTATGGTTTGTGATGTAATGAACTATCATTTTGGTCCTGTTTATGAACCATCCAGTGCACAACAAGCAACTATATGGTCCAGAAATATTCAAATCTTTCATATACAACCAAACATCAGAGGGCCGTTCTATAACTTTGTTCTCATTATCATTCTGTCCTAATTTTATAGTTAGTGACAGACTATTTCTATTTATTGCCTTTTTCTTTTTCTTTTTCGAATCAGCATCATTTGATTTCACTTTTTTTATCTCAAACTTTTCCGTATTCAACCTTTTGGTCGCAGCTAAAATTGATAGTGGTTCGTCATCAGAATCGTCGGAAGACATTGTAGTGAATAGAAAAGAAATAAAGGTAAAATTTTAGATTAACAAATTGTTTTCACCACAAAACACTAATAAACACAATAGTTTTAAATATTTTTAACCACAGACCAAAGAACATATATTTTTTTAAATTCTTTTCTCCTTTTTAGGGTAGGCAAAGGACTTTACTAATCCATACAGCCACGTCATATTTTAATAGTCTCTTGATAGATATTTAAAATTTGATAGACTGTGTGTTGGTGCATGGATTTAGTATCGTATATAACAGGACCTATAACGATGAAAAATTGTTATTACCAAAATTAACCTAATCCGAGTTGAGAAAAATAGTCACAACGAAGGCCATGTGTCTCGATCCATGTGTCTAGATCTTTTTATAATGGCTAGACGAAAGCGTCTAGCCATTATAAAAAGATCTCATCTTATCACAATTTTTAGTAATGTTTAATGGTTCCTAAATTTAATATTTCAAAAGTTAAATTTATGTTAGAATATTGTGGCTGGTTTTTGCTCTCTTTTCTTCTCTTGTCGTATGCATCACGCATAATGGCTTAGTAACATGTAAAAAAATTAGATCACTCATCCAATGCGCAGACCAAAAACACTAACTAGTTCAACGTCACGCCGATCTACATAGCATTCCTCACTGGCCCCATATGTAGCTCCAAATGCGGAATGGTGCTATTACAGCATATATATTCCTATCGGATAAAACCAACCAACCAACATTCCACACTGGATTGGACGTACTAAAGCACTAGTATTCTTGATGGATAAAATCAATTTCCCAGTAATCTATACTGGGACAACGTGGTCGTTTTAAATTGATCCCAAAAAAAAAATAGTCCACCCATCTTATTGCCATCCTTTTCCAAGCCAATCGTTGCTTAACCTCCCCATTCGAGATCAAATACGCTAATTACTGCACCAACGAGCTTTTCACTTGTTTATACATATAGGAGGGATATTGTTATATTTGGTAATATTAATACCCGTGCAGTTGAGATTGCGCAACTAATATCGCTTCTCGATTTTAATTGAACCGATGTCGCAGACGACGACTTTTCAATTTGATGTCGCGAAGATTTGTGGTCGATATTGCCAGATTGTGAATCTCAAGAGTAAGCAAACACTTGCGATTATCCTTATATTTTAATGAATGGGCGTGATTCGTGACATATCGCTTGCATGAAATTGCATGAAGAGCCTAGAAGTATCTATAATAAAAATATATTGACTGTAATAAAAAAAAATTACAAGAAGATTATTATGTATGATAATGGCCGCGGTAGTTAAACTAACATGTTATCTCTATAGCCTCTTTCCTTAATCGCTCGACTCGCTTTTCAGATGGGAGTGCTCTATCCTGTTATAGTACTAAGTCCGTGGTGTGGTGTGATATGAGACCCTTTTGACAATCGAAAAGAACATAGAATGTAACGTTTTACGAAATCGACGTATCAGGAAAAAATAATAAAAAGTAATTTGTTAAAAACTTAGCATATTTTTTTTAATTTAAAACATTCCTGCATATAGCACAATATACTATAAGTATCGTATTTATATCGGATATACGGTTTCGTCATGAGATCTTGTAAGGATTTAAGCATCCTAAGACTTTTATTGCTTTTTATAAGACTGATTTGATCTCGCACATAGGTTGTCTTACACACCGAGATGTAGAAAAAACGTCATGGTGCAGGTGTCTCTCCGTCGAATTCTGGACACGTACAACATTCCTCATAGATGTACATATTGAGACATTCCTCTTAAATATTTTAGAAAATGGCAATTGATTTTCTCACACAAAAATAGTCATAATACGAGGAATGAACGATTGTTCAATTATTGGTTTTAATATTTAATTATGCACGCGTTCCTTGCTAAAATATATATTATTTCTAAGATATTGGTGTGGGTTCTATATTTGGTAACATATTATATTATTTTAATTAAGCAAAGCTTTTTACAGTACAGCGTACGAATGGTTCATGTCCCTAAATCTAAAAAATAAAAATAAAAGTATTACTTTCAGACAATAACATTAACTTTTTATTTACTACTTACGTAACGTCTCAAAATCGTTAACGTCCTCGATTCTTTTCTTCATAAAAATAGTGCCGTAGAAAAGTTAATCGCTTATTTCCTCATACATTCGTTTTTAGTTTTAATTATTAGATATTAATATAAATGTATAGAGAAAGAAATATTTTGAGTATCAAAATAAGGTACTATTTAACCATTCATCCGCCATCTAATACTGTGAAACGGCGCTTTCACAGTGTCAACTCAATTGAATAAAATAGGTTTTATTTAATAAATCAACAGAATCCTTGTTTGATGTAAGTATACACATGTCGTCTGGAACACCCTCATAATAGCTTCAATATATTTTTTGAATAGACACCCATAGAAAAGGTCAATATTAAACTTTACTAAACTGACTAACTAGGCGAAGCCCGTGTTGGCCTCTAACTATCAGCATCAGCTGACAGAAAAAAATACCTAATTAAAATCATCTCAGGGTGCCAGGGTCCAAGTGGATATTTTAAGTATTTCTCATTAAGATTATAATACCTACTTTATTTAATTTTTCTACAATATAAAACCAAAACTACTTTAATAATCAAACAACAATATTTAGCTAACCAGAAAGCTAGGTAACAAGAATATTCAATAACATATTTTTAAGTTGATACAACTGCGTTGTTTGGTAAAATAAGGCTTAAAATCCTTAAGGATCTGCTTCTTTGCGGTCGACCGACATTATATCTTTTGAAATCAGAGTATATGTAATGTTTCACAACAATTTGGCGCTCTAAAGAACCTACGTGCATTTTTGCCGACATTAACTATGTAACTGGCAGATCGACGCAAGATCGACACATCCACTCGTCGGTTATGTTCGATCAAAATTGACTGTAAGTGAGTACCTTCATTTTTGTACGTACACAAGCGACACTACCGACATTACATCACGTAGATTAGCATTCGTAATTGCAATAAAAGCAACAATTATTTTTTTGTGATATTATTCCTTACACCATTTTATGAAGTTTTATACAAAAAAACAAAAATCGTCAAAATACGATACGATTTATATTCCAGGGATACGATCCTGGGGAACGGTCAAAATTGAGCAGGGAACTTTATGGAAAATTATCATCTTCCACAAATGAGTCAACTTGCTTAAAGAGTCTGTAGTTTTCATAACTCTGCGATTTATTTATAATATTTGTAATAATAAGTATTTCTTTCGGCTGTTTGGGTGGATGCCTGAACATTGATGGGAATACGCTATGTAGTAACGAAAAGAAACAAGTGGTTGAAAGATTCGTCAGTCCTGTTAGGGCCTGGTAGCTCAGTGGTTAGAGCAGTCGCCCCGATTGCGAAAGGTCGTGGGTTCGAGTTCCATCTCAGGGTGCCAGGGACCAAGTGGATTTTTAAACATATTGTATTAAGAATATTTATGAACTTAATTGAAAATTGAGTAGATTTAATTTCTACTCGTCATTATTAAAATATGTAAAATCTATTCGAATGGCACATCATTAGTTGGAATTAAAACTAAAGGGGTCTCATTCTAAGCCACAGAATTTTTCCATATCATACATCAACGTCTGCAGACTTGCCAGCGCCTTACCTGCGGGCTGGCACATTTAGTGAATCCCTTAAAAATATATATGTCAAAAAGATATGTTTCTATTGCACGTCTATGTCGCAGTCAACTTATTAAAACAACCGTTAAATTAGGCGGCCAGCTATTTAAATGAAAGGCGCCATTCAATTGGATGCATATTTTATAGTTCAATCATTATGACATTGCATCGTTCAACAAGACGGCTGTTTTTAAAACCGCCAATACGTTCATTAATTTTATTATCTGTTAAAAAAATTTAAGTCGATCGCGAAGCGTATCGTAGCTTATTAGGATAATTCGGGCCTAATTAGGTATTATACTACTCTTTGGTTTGAGCTTCATCCAATTGCGTTATTAGTGTGTTAGTTAGCTTCCTGTATTGGATCATACAGACCATTAAAACCCAATATCGAATAAGCAGTTTACTATAATAATAATAATATTTTATTTTTCTCCGCATATTACACAGTTACAATTGTCATTTTATTCTTATTCAATTCAACTATAGTAATATAACAAAAGTACAGGAGTTAATGTTCTTAACATTGTTTAAAAAAGAGAAGAAACGATAATAAAAGAAAATATGAAATAGATAAAATTACAGGCTTATGTGTGTGTGTGAGTGTGTGACGGTGAGCATATGTGTATGTGTGTAGGGTATGTGGATGTGAGTAAGTGTGTGAAAAAGATAAATTTTATTTATACAATATTTATAAAAAAATTCTGTTTCATTATAGCTTAAACTAAATAGCCATAGTATACAGCTTGTTTACATTGATACCTATTTAAAGGGTATATGGATAAGATTCTATTGCATTTATTATAAAGTATAGGTCCAAGATATTAAAGAAATTTTTGTCCAAATTTGGTAATCTTTTTGATCAGTCTTGTATCTGTATCGATTACAGATCGTAACAAGGAGTTTTTGAGTTATATTTAAAATTACCCGATTTTATCATTTGGCTGCGACATCTATGCTAAGATTTGATTGTTTGCAACGAATAGGCTCTGAAACTACTAGACTGATTTAAAAAATTCTTTAATCCACGGGAATCTACATCATAGGAGAGTGACATAAATACGCGGGCGAAATCGCGGGAAAACAGTTAGATGAGCTTCATCATCATCATCAGCCCATATTCGTCCACTGCTGGACATAGGCCTCCCCAATTGCACGCCATCTACTTCGATTTTCGGCTATTCGCATCCAGCTCCTGCCAGCCATCTTGCGCAAATCATCGCTCCACCGCGCCTGAGGACGTCCTACACTACGTTTGCCGAGACGCGGTCTCCACTCAAGAACTCGTTTACCCCAACGGTTATCGGTTCTGCGGCTAATATGGCCAGCCCACTGCCACTTCAGCTTGCTAATCCGGTGGGCTATGTCGATAACCTTGGTTCTCTGCCGGATCACCTCATTTTTGATTCGATCCCGCAGAGAAACGCCGAGCATAGCCCTTTCCATAGCGCGCTGAGCGACCTTCAACTTGTGGACCAGCC